AGGCCACATCATGCGGCTTAACTCATGTGACGTCAGACACTTCAACATTGTTTTTAAAGCTGTGCCACAGGGATTTTAGTGTTGCCATTTCAGAAAATTATGTTCTTAGCAATGACCCTTATTCAACAAGTGTCTGACCTCCATTTATAATGACACCTCTCCAAGATATCAGATCATATATGCCAATAATATATTGCACATTATATATTGCTTTTGTTTGCCTTACAATTTGGTCAGTTCTATGTTTTATTCCTTTACACACGCATTGCTGTGAAGTCAAAAATGGAACAGACTTTACCTCATAAAAATCACAGTGTGTGTGTTTACTCAGTCTAAATCAATCAAACGATGTCCAGTCGAGTTCTCACACTATTCCTGTCACCAGGTTAAATCCTGGACAGTATACTGTTAGCTTGCTCTGGTGTTATTGCTGCCATAACCAATAGCAGAATGATCACATCACTGGGAATCGGTCTCCCTGTAAAGCACACAAACATGAAGTATTCATTTTGGGACTTCATCTTGTGATTTTTACGCTGATTTTGGTTCTTCATCTTTTAATGTAATATTAATTAATGTAATAGAGCATAAACAATTTATTAAATGTAGCCCATTCAGTTTTTGTTAAGGACGGTTTAAATGTCAGTTCGTCAAAATCAGTAGGGTACAAAATGCAGAGAACACATTGAAAATCTGAGATTTAAACATTTTAATGTAATTAAAAAAAAAAAAGCTAAATATAGAATGCAACAAAAAAACAGAAATATTTAAGACAATCTAAAATTTATGTAAATTTTTCAGTTCAGCTTTTGACTGTATTCAATTATAAATTGAATTATACAACTGTATAATCAGTTGTATATTGTTTTACAACTGTACACTCTAAAAAAATGCAGAGTTAAATACAACCCAATTGCTGGGTTTGTCCCTATTTTACCCAGCACTGGGTTGTATTTAACCCAGCATTTTTTAGAGTGTATATTCAACAGTATTCAATTATAAATTGAATTATACATTATACTTTATGCTTATTATACTAGACTTACAATGGTCAGAACCCTTGGTGTTTACCATGTTGTAGCATGCGAATCATATTAAATAGTGTGCAAAGACCTTCTTTAGCTTAGGTTTTTTTTATCTTTTAACCAATAATATTCATAAACACAGAAAAGAATCCAAGGCATTGCCATATCTTGTGTAATCATGACAATTAAAGCATAATTTTCCCATTCTTTTCATTACACTGACTGTGCTCTATGCACCTGCTTGAACCCTCGTTTGTTTAAATATTCAGGCCCACCACATCTTTTGTATAGCCCAGACTGCAATAAAACAAGAGAAATGAGCTGAGAAATCTCAGCAGCAGTGCCAGCTTATCTAAAGGACCCTTGGAACCCTATTCTGATACCCCTCCTTGCTTCAAAAGCTGAGGCAGTCTCCCTCAGCTTGCCACAGTGCCGGCCCTTATATAGACAGCAGACATTAGGTAAACGCAAGGTAGACGTTAGGTAAACTGAAAACAGGCACTTTTCAGTCAACAGCTGTTTTCATAACTGCGATATGCCTCTCTGCACTGGCACTGGAAACACCGCTGCGGGATTGTGTGCATAACTGTTTTATGCAGACAAGAGGGTGGTAGAATTTACAATGCACAGTCATAAGCAGCTGTTAGAAGACAAAGAAACTGCAGGCGGTGTGGTATTGGAGATATTTGTATTACTTGATAGAGTTTTTAGGTCAGAGATCCACTGCAAAACAAATCACATGCCAAGTCTGCATGCGTTTTTATTAGATCAAGCCTTATCAATGGACACCTTGTTCTCAAGCTTTTCTTCAAATTGCTTTATCAGCTTAGGAGAGATTTTTTTCTCTCGTTCTTTTTATTCCATGCATGTTTCACCACATAACTATGTTACTCCATCAAAGTATCCATGTAAAACCATTTTGACCATGTTTTGTGAAAGGCAGTAAAACACTTTCTGTCCAATTACGGACAGAGAAAACACCCTATTCCACTATATATCCACCACATCTCTCTCTCTCTCTCTCTCTTTCTCTCTCTAAAAACAAAAAAACACTTTTGACATTTGGCTGAATCAGCTGTCAACCCCTGAATCAGAGTGTAACTGGGTCAGCAGATAGCAGGCTTATCGCTTTTCACTCATGCCAAATATAGCATTCAGCTTGTTTTAAAACTGTCTGCATATTGGATATCATGTTCACATTGTGTTAATATGGGAAACCTTTCATAAAAGACAGAGGAGATTGCCTCTCATGAGCATCATGTAGTCCTGTTTAGTATTGCTAGTATTGCTGGTTTAGAAATTCAATACTCTAATAATTAAACTATTTGTGCTATGGACATGAGTAACAGCTCAAAATTGTGAGGCTTTTTGATTAAATGTGTGCTGGTACTTTTTTAAACAATCCGACTTACAATAATTTGTTAAAGGTGGACCATAAAACAAAAAAAGACCTACACTAGGGTAGAGAATGGGAGATTACTATATCTCAGAAACTTAGTGTGAATTCCAACAAGAAAGTGTGCAATTCAAATACCCAGATGATGTGAAAAAAATAAATAAAGTGTGGAATGTTGGACACTTCATGTTCTCAACAGTCGCAAAATCCCTATTGATGATGCTGGACGACAAAATAAGCTTATAAAATTCATACACTACATGTAGAGTGCATAGTATAAGTGCATAGTGTGTCATCATTTGGGACTTTTTTTGACCAGTAAACAACATTCTACCAACTACCTAACAACCACCCTTAATACTCTAGAAGGCGCCTTGCAACACCCTAGTAACCATTAGAGCACCTATAAGCTCAAAGAACAGCCTAGAAACTCCATCACCCTGGAACCAAATAGCAACTCAATCTCCGAATGGCCTAAAACAACACCCTACACTCTAAAAAATGCAGGGTTGTTTCAACCCAATGTTGGGTCAAATATGGACTAACCCAACTGTTGGGTTAAATTTTGGTTAAATTTTTAAATTAACTTTTTAACCCAACAGTCGGGTTAGTCCATATTTGACCCAACATTGGGTTGAAACAACCCAGCATTTTTTAGAGTGTAGCAACAACCCAGAACACTCTAGCACCCACACAGCACCATGTATCTGAATGCCCTAAAAACTCAATAGCAACACCCAAGCAACCCCCCAAAACCCCCTAGCAAGCATCTGGCAATGCTTAAGCAAGCTTTCAGAACAGCCTAGTAATTGAATCACAATACCCTAGCATCCATACCAACCCCTTTTCAGAATGCCTAGCTTCAAAAAAATCACAGCAACAAAAGAAAAAATAGTCAAGCTTTGCACAGGAAAACACCACTTACTTTTTCAGAAAGAGTAAAAATCTGGTCCTACATATAATGATGCAAATTTACAGAGACAGACTCAGTATTATATCTTTTTACAACTAGCAGGTGCCTTTAAATGATTAGTTGTCGATGCTTTCTTATGTTATGGATCTTGATGTTGTTTACTTTTGTGGCTTGGAAAGTAAATACCATCCATGCATTCTTTATTCTTAAATAGTGAGATATGCTTCTTGCCAACACTTCCCCTCTCAACCTCCAAACACACACACAAACACAGAAAGGAATACACATGTACATGGTTTTACATTGAAATAAAAAAAGTGTCTATCAGTAGAGGAATGACCTAATCTTATTCTTTGCCAATAGCCTGAAACACAACTAGAGCTTGAACGTAGACTTTTTGGCAAAACTCCTCCAGACCAAACAAGGAGTGCTAGACAATCTGGGTTTAAAACTCAGCAAGGGGTGGGGAGGGGGATATGGTGCCTTTCCAGAAAACCCCCTTGGTTTCTTTACAAAATTTTGACACAAACTGCCAGCATATATGTATATGCAAGAATCCAACAATCTAAAAGGCAGTTGCGTAGATGTAAGTAAGTGAGTGTAAGTGACCATATGGAGTGGCACCTTTGGAGAAGAAACAATTTCATAAAACATGGAAAAAATTATATCAAATATAACAAATGACTGTCAAAATAGAGGAAAATTTTAAGCTAGTGAATGATGCTTACAGCAGCTTTAGCGTAATGTGTGACTCATACTTTTATTGTCAGATCTTCTGGATGTCATTCAGCCTAAAAGACTGTTTGAAGTTTGAAGTACATTACAATTTATTGCCCATTAAGGAGAAAAACAACTTAATTATGAAAAGGCCATTTATGTATTGTTCCCTATTGTAAGCCTCCATTCTCAGAGGTCACATTGGACCATTAAGGATGCACCATTATTTCAAAAATCTTCATGATTTAGCCGTCAACATCCCAGTTGGATCTAAAGGCTTTGGGGCTGCAGGGGTTATTAAAATCTGTGTTGTCAACCTTCAATAATGTGTTCCAACACACACCCATTCAGTGTTTTTCCATCACATACATGATTTCATGTGTTCCTCCGGGACTCATAAGTTAATAACAATAGAGTGATCCCTGGAGCCTGGCCAAATGACTTTAAACCTCAGAGGTGAGCAATCTTCCTTCTTGAATGATTGAATGATGGGTCCGGTCCTTAAATGTTACTTACACCCCCATAGCTGGAAACAATATATCATGTAATAACCTTATCTGGAGTGATTTCTTACTGCTTTTGATTGGATAAAAAAGAAATACTCTCCATGAGAATATCTGGCAGATGTTTCTCTTGGTGAGGTAGATGTTAAGAGAGTGAGAGAGATTTTCTCTCTCCCCCTATCCTCAAATATCTGTCTTTATTTTTTGGCCAATGCTTTGACTCATGTTGGCAGAGGTGACCCAAATAAATGCACTAGCACCAGTCATTTAGGGGGGCTAGGGGTGGGGTTAGCAAAAACAGAAAAAAAACATAATGTACAAGACCCAAGTGTGCTAGTTTCCCTAATTACGTAGTGTTCCTCCATCCTTCCTTTATTTTTTTCTCTCTTTCATACTGGCCCCCCACCCCTTATTCTTCTTGTTCAAGACATGGGTGTGCAGTGATTTGCTTTTGGGGGATAAAACCCACAGTTTGGGAGTGGAGAGGGATATTACAGAGCAGGATGGCCTGGAGTAAGGTACCTCTGCTCTTGCATGGATTTCTCCTGCTGGTTCTGTGTAAACCCTCACTTCAAGGAGGTAAGGTCTCTCCAAACTTATTTGGCTTTTTCTATCTCATTGCATTACAGGTGTATTGCAGTTTTGGCAATAGCATCACATTCTTTTAAATTTAGTTGCACACTGCTGACAGTGGATGCACTTAGGCTGTACTTTGTTGTCTGTGTTCTGAATGTTCTAGGTTCAGGTAAAGGATTGATTATAAAAAGTATGCAACTTGAATTAAAAGTGCTGTACTGAGTGTATTGCTATAGTGTATTGTTGCAGGATGATTTACTGTGTCAATGAAATTTGACTCAGGTCTCGTTCCTGCATGATCTTTAAATCTTAATACTTAAAAATGTATGATGGTGAGGAAACATTGCCAACTTGTAGTTTAGTAAAGTTACAAGCTTTCCATTTAAAATGAGCTGACTTTACTTTGGTTTTCTATTTCTTTTTTATTATTGAATAAAACTAAATATCAGTGAAGTATGTAACATATCAGTGAAACATGATGCATTTGCATTTGGTTAAAGTTTTCAATGTATTTTTAAGTTTAATTTGACACAATCACAATTAGTACTCCATAAAACCAGATCGATTTTGATTCAAATAAATTACTTTTTTTTTTTTTTAAGATTTTAAGTCACTGTTTATATTTATGGAAATGGTTTCCACTTGGCCTTTTATTCATGTAGAAGGAATGATCTGAGAAATACTAATCCAGATCATTACATCATATACTAACAACCTACAAGCATTTCCCAGTGGGTTTGTAGAACAGATGACTTCAGCTTTTTAGTTCTAAGCTCTTGGAAGAGGTCATGTATAGGATGTTGTTCTTCGTCTGAATCACATCCATTCTCTGTTCCCCTATGCCTCCAAACCTTAAACAGCAAGGCAGGAGGACACAGAAACTCATGTGGTAATGCATTCGGTGCTGTTTGAGGCTTCACATGAAAGACTAGATGCAAGATTAGTTAGAACCCCCTGGGTAAGTGGCATCATCGCTGAGTAAAGGATGGAATGGTCCTCATAAACTGGTAATGTGTTGCAGTAGTTAGATCCTAATATGCATCGTCTAATAAAAGAAGTATGGGTTTGCAGTGCAAACAGTGATGTTCGCAGAAATGTGATAATATCTACTCTATGTTCAATGTAATAATGTTTTAGAAAATATTCTCTTTATTCTCCTCTTCAGGTTTCTCAAATACATACAAGAACACACAACTAAATGCTTGGTTATTTCTTTATCTGGCATGCTATCATGAACAGGACACATTAATAAAGGAATTTATTAATGTTCACTTTCTCTCTCAGGAATCTACATACCAGCTGGTGCAGGGGGAGGAACTGGAGCTGGATTAGGGGGTGGTCTTGGAACTGGAGCTGGACTTGGTGCTGGAACAGGCCCAGGAGGAGGATTTGGTGCGGGAATCGGAAGTGTTGGGCCAGGAGTTGGTCCTGGAGGAGTTGGAACAGGATTAGGTCCAGGTGGTCTTGGAATAGGGCCAGGAACTGGAATCAGACCTGGAACTGGTGATAATTTACATTTATTCTTAAACATTTAATGTGCAATTAATGTCCATAGCTTCCATATCAGTACTATAATAATCTTTAATAAATTAGCAACTAATAAAGAATATTGTATTATGTATTATGTATTGTATTGTATTATGTATCTAATACAATAATTTTATTTGTTAACTTATTTACTTACCAGGAGTTGGAGGAATACTTGGTTTCAAACCAGGAAAGACAGGAAGTGAGTGGCTAAATTTCTCCTAACTAGTCATTTTAAGTTTGATTAAATTAATATTTACTTGTCTAACTTGTAATAGGCTTTGGAGGTGGTGGTGCTGGGGGGCAAGGTGCTGGACTGGGTGCAGGGCTTGGGGGAGTTGGGCCTGGTGGTGCAGGGCTTGGTACAGGAGGACTTGGTACTGGTGGATTAGGCACCGGAGGCCTCGGGACAGGTTAATGAAATTTCCTTTACATATTATGGTACTGAAATGTACCATAAATGGTAATTAACATAATTATCATTTTGTAATTAACATATTTAACTATTTAGGGGCATGCTATTGAGGCACAAAAATGATTTCATGAATTTGATCTTTTCCACAGGGTCATTCGTCAAGCCACCTAAAACAGGTGCGATGTAACGCATGCTAAAAGTTGGGATTCATTTTAATAATAAAGATTGGCAGAGACATTGCCTTTATCAGATGAGAAATTAATTGTGTAAACACAGGAGGATATGGAGGTCTACCAGGATTTGGACCAGGTGGTACAGGTGCTGGTCCTTCTGGCATTGGTCCAGGAGGCATTGGACCAGGAGGAATAGGACCTGGTGGCATAGGACCTGGTGGCATTGGACCTGGTGGCATTAGACCTGGTGCCATAGGAACTGGACCAGGAAGGGTCGGACCTGGAGGAATTGGTGCTGGTGTTGGAACTTGGAGCCTTGGAGCAGGTAATATTTGTCAGAGTGTAATTTTACTAATAAGCAATCAAACCTGACTGAACTATAAGGTTATATTCATATAAGGTTCTGCTAGTCTCTGCTAGGGATCCTGGTGGTGTTGGACCAGGTGGTATTGTCCCTGGTGGTGTTGGACCAGGTGGTATTGTCCCTGGTGGTGTTGGACCAGGTGGCTTCAGGCCAGGTGGCATTGTCCCTGGTGGTGTTGGACCAGGTGTCTTGAGTCCTGGTAAGACATCTTTTTAATCAACAGTAGACACAACTGAGTTTTTGTTACTGCCTTTGTGATTCTGTTCATAGCACTATTTGATCAAAATAAACAAAACAATTTTGCCTTATCATAGGAGCAGGCAGAAAACCTGGGAAACCAGGTATGATCTGAATTAAAAAGTGTTCTGCAACCACAATAAAAAAAGTGCACGCATAATTAAAATCCATTGTTTTTGTTGTGAACATCACTATTTCTTATTAATTCTTATAGCTATTGCAGTCAGAAAACAGCATATTGTCAGTGGTTCAAAATGCATTTACCTCAGATGGTGTAAATTTAGGTTATGGTGGGCCTGGGGGTTTTGGTGGTGGACCGTTTGGAACAGGAAGTCTTGGAGCAGGTGCTATTCCACTTACACCTGGAGGTGCTGGAACAGGCTATCCATCAGGTGGTAAGAATATACTTCCTTTCCTTATGTGTTGTAGCCATGAAATAACATAATAAACAATAAAAAGGAATACATTTAAAGATGACTAGTTAAAAGTGACTTTTGAGGGGGTTAAATTATAAAGGAATATTATCTGCTGCTTTGAAAATGGAATTTGTTTTTAGGTAGCTATAGTGGATATGGTACTTATCCTGGAGCTGGAACAATTGGTCAGAAACCACCAAAACCAGGTAAAGCTAGATATATGGACATGAGTATTGGCTTAAATGAAGGTGTGAAACTTGAATACACTTTTTCAAAAAACATTTAAATTGTATCAACACATGCTGGATTTGATGAAATAGGAATTGGACCTGGAGGTGTAGGAATTGGTCCAGGCGGCACAGGACTTAGACCTGGGGGTGCGGGAGTTCTGCCTGGAGGTGTAGGAATTGGACCGGGTGGCACAGGAATTGGACCAGGTGGTGCAGGAATTGGTCCAGGTGGCACAGGAATTGGACCAGGTGGAGCTGGATTTGGACCTGGAGGTGTAGGAATTGGACCTGGTGGCACTGGAACTGGAATTGGAGGAGCAGGAGTTGCACCTGGTGGAGGTAGGTTTTGAGGGACATAATTGTTAAGCTACTGCTGTTTGCAGTTACTTGCAACTTTTAACCTTTGCATCTTTTCAATCCATTTTGGCTCCTAGCACCTTTTCTCCCTCAAACTGGCTTAGCAGGAACTGGAACTGGGACAGGCGCTGGGGGAAAAGTCGGAAAGTTTGGGAAGGCGCCAGTGCCAGGTAACTGTGTCTATTAATGGAGCTCCCCTTTTGTTGGAATATTTTTTATCAAATCTTTGACAAGAAAGAATTGTTTTATTTTTTTCTTTCTCCAAACAAACAAGGTGTTGGGATTCCTGGGCTATACCAAGGGGGTATAGTCCCTGGACAAGGTGGGTGACTGAAATATTTGACAGTTATGAGATTTTCCACTGTTTCTAGAATATTTGGTAACACTTTATTTTAAGGTGTCCTTGTTACACGTTACATTTACTTACTATTATAATAACAATTAATTATGCATGATTACATGCAAGTAACCCTAAGCCAAACCATAATCCTAACCCTAACCATATAGTAAGGACATGTAGTTAATTAATATTACTCAGTACATATATGTATAATTACACTCTAACAAGGACACCTAAAAATAAAGTGTAACTGAATATTCATACAGATATGACATTTACATTTTTGTTTTTATATGTAGGTTTTGGCGGTAGAGGCATTCTGCCAGGTGTAGCCACAGGATCACAAACTGGTAAGATTTATGTGGTTTAAAGTTTTATAATTGATAGCTTTATCCAGCAATTAAAATATTTTCTGGGACTCTCTCTGCTATTTTGTTGTTTATAGGGCAGCTTGGTCAAGGTGCACTTGGAGCTAATGGTAAAATAAGTAACTGAAAGAACAGTCCTTTCAATAAAAGTTATGAAAACTACTTCTAACAGAGCTCACTTATCTTTTCTCTTTCAGGAGGCCGTGGAGGATTTGGTCAACAAATACCAGGCGTGTTCCGTGGATATCCTCTTATATCACCAAAGTCTGGAGGTAGCATGCATTTAAAAATCTATCCCTTTATCCATTGTAGTTATTTACATTTGAGATCAACCAACACAAATTATACTTGTCAGCCAATTACATTAGATTCTCATTATTTAAAATCAAGTTATTTGCCGTATGATTTCAGAGTTTTAGAGTATTTATGGGAATGTACTTTCTTACTCCATGCAAGGTTCAAGTGCTGCTAAGTCTCAGGCTAAAGCTGCCAAGTATGGTAAGTCATGCAGGAAAAAAATTAAGACTTTCTTAGGAACAAGAATTTCAATATATGTCTAAACGACATGCTTGATATTGCTGACTGTCTTGCAGGGGCTGGTGGTGTTCCGGGTCTCGGTGGTGGGCTTGGAGGTATACCTGGTGCAGGTGGTATACCAGGTGCAGGTGTTGTTCCAGGCATAAGTGGCATACCTGGTGCAGGTGGTGTGCCAGGAATAGGCGGTGTTGCAGGTGCAGCTGGTGTTCCAGGTGTCGGAGTCATTCCTGGAGCTAGCGGTGGAACTCCAGGTGTCCTATATCCGGGAGCTGGTGGTTCCTATCCTGGGGGTAAATTTATGATTTATTACAAATAGAGAAATGTTTCAGGATTATCTAAGACATTGAAATTTGCTTAAGTCTTATAATATCCACGGATTGTCTCTCATTAGGAACTGGGGCAAAAGCTCGAAAGTATGGTAAGAAAGCTTCTAGATTAATTTTATATATATAATCACCTGGCTGACAACTGTCTCTTTCATGGAAAAAATGACAGAAGATATCAGGGGGAATCCAAATCTTAAATATTAAGCCTTGTAAAAATAAGTTAAAGTAGAAAAAGCCAAATTAAACATGAAAAATATTTTTTTTCTGGATTGATGTTTATCATGCAACATATATAAAAACAGAGTTTCATCTTAATTTCTATGCAATTTTGGGTTGTTTATTTTCTAGCTTTCGGCATAGGAACTGGTGGACTTCCTGGTTCTGGTTTGGGAGTTGGTGGTCTTGGCACTGGTGGAATCTCTGGACCTGGAGTTGGTCCTGAAGGTAAATTACCTTGTTTTGTTTTCAAAGATATTATCATTAACAGCACAATGATATCTATCTAAGACATTGAAATTTGCTTAAGTCTTATAATATCCACGGATTGTCTCTCATTAGGAACTGGGGCAAAAGCTCGAAAGTATGGTAAGAAAGCTTCTAGATTCATTTTATATATATAATCACCTGGCTGACAACTGTCTCTTTCATGGAAAAAATGACAGAAGATATCAGGGGGAATCCAAATCTTAAATATTAAGCCTTGTAAAAATAAGTTAAAGTAGAAAAAGCCAAATTAAACATGAAAAATATTTTTTTTCTGGATTGATGTTTATCATGCAACATATATAAAAACAGAGTTTCATCTTAATTTCTATGCAATTTTGGGTTGTTTATTTTCTAGCTTTCGGCATAGGAACTGGTGGACTTCCTGGTTCTGGTTTGGGAGTGGGTGGTCTTGGAGCTGGAGGACTACCTGGTTCTGGTTTGGGAGTGGGTGGTCTTGGAACTGGAGGACTTCCTGGTTCTGGTTTGGGAGTGGGTGGTCTTGGAGCTGGAGGACTTCCTGGTTCTGGTTTGGGCGTGGGTGGCTTTGGAGCTGGAGGACTTCCTGGTTCTGGTTTGGGAGTTGGTGGTCTTGGCACTGGTGGAATCCCTGGACCTGGAGTTGGTCCTGAAGGTAAATTACCTTGTTTTGTTTTCAAAGATATTATCATTAACAGCACAATGATATCTACTATTCTGCCATATTTTAGGATATGCTGCAGCCAAAGCAAGAAAATATGGTATGACTTTACATTTTGCATTTTACAATGAAATACTGTAGATCTTGTTATTGGCAAATCAAAATTGTAATTGTCTATAATTTCCATAAATTGTCCATAAATATACAATTTAGCTCTAGCACAGGGATAGCCAACCCTGCTCCTGGAGAGTTACAGTACCTTAGCTCCGACCCTAATCAAACACACGAGGTGCTGAGAATTACTTAAAAATTGCTGGAAGGTATGTCTGAACAGGGTTTTTATTTATATTTCCATCCTAAAAAATAAGACTGAGTTTCATCAAAACTCCAGACTTAATTTTTAGCTCTATTGTTTAGTATATATTGTATACCTAACATCAGGGCTCCTAGTGTCCCACAGGCCAAATCCAATCCTAATAATATAATATAATATAATATAATAATACATTACTGTGCTTAGATTTGATTATTTTATTGCATATATCACTTGTGAAATTCTACCAGTCACAGAAACCTAAAGAAATGTAAGACATTGATATTCACTGATAAATCCTTTGTAGCTCAGCTTGGACGTCCTGGTGGGACTTTAGGTACAGGAGGATTGCCAGGTGGAGCAGCCGGTGTGTCTGGTGTTGGACTTGGTGGACTACCTGGTGGTGGTCTTGGGATTGGTGGACAACCTGGAGGCGGATTTGGAGGGCTACCTGGAGGTGGATTTGGTGGATTACCTGGTGGAGGAGCTGGTGGACTGCCTTTTGGAGTTGGTGGTCTTCCTAGCGGTGGTGCTGGAGGACTCCCCAGCTCTGGAAATGGTACCTAAATCATACCACATACAACATAAAGTTTACAATAAAGATTTTGATTTTGATTTTGATTTGAGGTCATATTTAATATGAAATATTCTGATGCTTTTCAGGATATGCAGAGGCAAAAGCTCGTAAATATGGTAGAACAACCTTTAATTCAATGCTTCAACATACTGCACTGTTAAATGAATTGTGTTGGTTTTATTGATAGCATTTATTATCCAAACTTTACTTAGCTTACAACCTTAAATATTATTTATATTTTTCTAGGTCTACTCGGTGGAGGTGCTGGTTTAGGCCCAGGCACTGGATTAGCTGCAGGTATTCCAGGTGGATTACCAGGCACTGGTGTCAGACCAGGTGGGGCAGGGATTATACTAGGAACTGGGGCTGGACAAGGAGGTGTCCCTGGTGTGGGTTTTGGTCCAGGAGGTGTACCCGGAGGTGGGCTTGGACCTGGTAGTGTTCCTGGAAGTGCATTTGGACCTGGAGGTAAATCTCCTAGAGTTTCTAAAGATTTCAAACACTGGGCTAAAAAACAATGATACTGTTGTCTTCTGCTAAATATCTAAATCAGATTTATTCAAAATTGATGAATATGGCAACATTGACACTGGTTGGTTGAATTGACATTGACATTGGTTATTGAACCAAACTGAATAAACATTGACCTGACTCGAACTGAATAACGATACCACTGTCTTCAGTAGAGATGCTTATTGCTGAAATGAACTTGTTTCAACACTGAACTGACTGGCGCTGTATAATAATAAATAAATACTGACGGGCACTGAATAATAACAATAATATTGCTGAATAATTGTCTTGCTACAGCTGCTTTACAGCAGAATTTTGATTTGCCAAACTTTGAAGTTTGCATCATTGATTCTGCTAATTTCCTGTTTGATACTGTAAAGCTGCTTTGAAACAATTATATAAAGCACTATAAAAATAAAGGTGACTTGACTTTATCAAGTTTTTTTAATTGATTTTTTCAGACTTTTCTTAGAGTGTCGTTTACTCTCATGTACTGTTGTAGTATATTTTTAAAGGGGTCATATGATGTTGCTAAAAATAACATTATTTTGTGTATTTGGTGTAATGAAATGTGTTTATGCGATTTAAGGTAAAAAAAAAAACATTATTTTCCACATACTGTACATTATTGTTTCTCCTCTATACCCTACATTTCAGAAATGCATCGATTTTTACAAAGCTCATCGTTCTGAAAAGTGAGGTGTGCTGTGATTGGCCAGCTATGCAGTGCGTTGTGATTGGCCGTATACCTCAAGCATGTGACGGAAATGTTACGCCCCTTACCATACTGTGATGCCATGTCCCGGCCAGAGCGACGAGACAAAAACATTAAAACCCATTATAAACAAGGCATTTGTTGCATCCAATGGGGACATAATTACAGATTATAATGACTTATACAGTCTTTTTACACGTTGCGTTAACATAAAACCATGTCTGCATTTGTGATCAGAGAAATGACAAACAACAAGTGCTACTCTACACTGCCCAAAACTCGCGTTTGAATCATCAGTGGCAAATCCTTTAAATGAAAACGTACTTACAGTCTGTGAGTCAGAACAGCCGGCATTGTAGTCTACTCTCACAGGATCAGGAAACAGTCTTCCATAAAATGCGCTACACACATCCGAATATTTGGGTTGAACTTTTCTGGAACAGTGTTATAAATACAACTTAACCACCGATTTCTAGTCATGTCCTCTTTTGGAAGACCAAACAAAGCAGTTTCGCTTTCACAACGAAACACACAGCGGGCTAGAGTGAGCGGCGGCCAGTGGGCTAGAGAACGGCGCGGCCAGCGGATTCGACGAAGGAGCGACCGGCGGGCTTGCGGCAACCACATGTGACGACCCCGGGCTGAACTCCGCTTCGTGCACAGTGAAAGGCGATCCACAGCATGAAGTTGATGTATTTCCTCAGCGACCAGCACGGATCAGCTCTAGGCATGACGAAGCGGATATCGTCCTCTTTTGGAAGGCCAAACAAAGTAGTTTCGCTTTCACAACGAAACACACAGCGTCTCGGCGGCAGCAACAATACTACAGCGAGAATAAAAGTTACGCCTTCTTTCTTTGCGTGAACATTTGGGCGGCGTTATGCAAATCTTCCCACATCGTGACGTAGACATGTGGGGGCGTGTTAGAATGAGCCATTTTAGGTAGGCGTGGTTGACTCTTAAATTTTATAAAGAATATCTCTTCGGATTTGAGACTTTAGTCTTTGCAACTTTACAGATCTTCTTTATGCACCAAGAGCTTGTAACACTCCAAAGAGAAAGGAAAAATTTAAATCACATCATATGACCCCTTTAAAGAAGAGAAGGAGAAAGGGAAGCAGGTTCCTAACCATCAGACTTGACTACAAGGCCCACTTGATAGCCCATACTCATTGCTTTATTTGCCCTCAACAATGTTTTACATAATATTCTTCATATTCTTAAGTGCAAGCCACCACAGAGACACCAAAGCATTCCCAGGTGAAAAAAAGTGCACTCCCATAATGTACTTAAAGTGCTCTATTTTCGCGCACTAATTTTGTACTTAATATACTAAAAATTATTCTTTAGTATTTCTTAAGATAAACTTTAGATCATCTAAGTGTACTCAATTAGTGCGTGAAAATAGAGCACTTTAAGTACATTATGGAAGTCTTCTTGTTTTTTTCACCTGGGTTGATATACTTTGCCCTGAATGTTCACTGTAGAGATGTGTGAATGGATGTGGCACAACTCTTTTTTATAGCTAAGATATTGTCTGTGTAACTACATATTGAGTTTCTTCCAGACAGTTTAGAAATAATGTACAATATACATAATTGTTTTTGCACAAATTCAGGGACAGACAGGCACAAAGCATCACTAATAACTCACCAACCATAGTAATGCAATATCATAAGAAAATGATAGCTTCAACCTTTTTTAGTTTAATTAAACCCTGGCCAATCTGGAAACCTAAGTAGCATGTCCAGCCAAGTATATCCCCAGATGACCTTTCTTTTGGTTGACTAAATTTAGCCATTGCATTCTTGAGCACATTCTAATGTCTCATCAGTGTTATCCAAGTGGATAACTGTATCATTCAAGCACACTGTAATGTAGGTTTAGTGTGGTTAGAGCACAGTGTTGATTATCTACCAGATGTTGATTTTAAGCATAAGTAGTATTTCGATACTCTGCTCTTCTTTCTCTGTAGCTCACCATTGTGCAGTTATGCCTCATAACACTGGCCTGGCCAAGGTTTTTTGAGAAGACTTCTTGAAGTTGTTAGATTAGAGTATTTTTATCAGCAGGTGAAGAAGATAGAAGCACAAGCCATACAAATCTTGCTGTGCTCGTATTTTATAGAAATATGAGAGGTAAAGATTGGATAATTTGAGGTTTCCATAGAAGCACAAGCCATACAAATCTTGCTGTGCTCGTATTTTATAGAAATATGACATTTCAAGTTTCATAACAAGAACTGTACATAGCTTTAACCACTGCTAAATCATATTTCTATAATATTGACTTCTTATATTTTAGGATATGCTGGGGCCAAAGCTCGCAAATATGGTATGGCAAAGTTAAATAATCTCCAAATTTTATTATCCATGTAGAAAAATACAAATTATAAATGACATTTTATTTTTGCATTTTGCAAAAAGGGATTACTGGTGGAGCTGGTGGAACAGGATTGCCTGGAGGATTAGGAGGGTCACTTGGTAGTGGAACAGTGTCAGGTGTTGGAGCTGCTGGAGGAATTGGACCTGGGGGGGCACCATTTGGTGGTTATGGACCAGGAGGAGCACCAATCAGTGGCTACGGACCTGGGGGGGCACCTGTAGGTGGTTATGGGCCAGGAGGAGTACCTGCTGGAGGATATGGACCTGGCTCTGGACGTATGCTGACAAACATTTTATTACATATATGCAGTTTATGCTTTCTGTTTGTTTCCATGTCTGCATTAATACTTTGTATCCAATTCAGCATATCCAGGTGGACTAAAGGCCCTAAAATATGGTAGGATATTTTAAATTCATTATGGCATCATGTTTTTTTTTTTGTACAATATGGCATTAACATTTGTTAAATTATTTTAATCCTTGTGTAGGTCCTGGTGGTAGTGGAGGAGCTACAGGACTTGGTCTACAGGGTCAGGTAGGTACCGGTCCAGCAGGAGGATTTGGCACGGGGACATGGCCAGTTGGTGGTTATGGTCCAGGGACTGTAGGAGGCCATGGGTCTGGGTTTACAGGAGCAGGACTTCCTGGTAGTGCTGTCGGAGCAGGAAGCAGAGGAGGGCTTGGGCCTGGGTATGGAACAGGTGCTGGAGGTAATTTAAACCAGTCAAAGTCATTTACACAGGAATTAGAAAATCCGTATTATTAAAACTGTACCTGGTCAACTTGTCTTTCAATTAATTACATGTGATGTCTTAGGATATGGACCTGGATCGAAAGCAGCTAAATATGGCAAGTTGAAACACACTACATACACTTACATGTATATTGCAAGTGGCTCTTGATCATTGATTAATGTACAGTATATTCAATTTGTCAAAAATGTTACCACATATTTTATGACTATAATGATGAAACATATATTCATAATATTAATATTCATTTATGTATTTTTTCAAACACATATTTATGTTTAATGCACATTACTAATATTTATCATGGGTAAATATAAAATGCTTGCCTTGAAATGATACAACATTAACAGAGTCTAAACCCATGCATATCTTGAAAGGTTTACCTGGATCTGGCGGTGTCTTGGGAGCAGGAGGTGTACCAGGAGCTGGAACAGGTTTGGAAGGGGGTTTTTGGTTAAAGGGACACTCCATCAAAAAAAATCTGTACTTACTTATATTAACTTGTTCCAAAACTACACGACATTCTTTCTTCAGTGGAACATAAATCAATTTGAGAAATGTCTCCGTATATATATATATATATTTTTTTGTCCATACAATTCAAACAAATAAATAAATAAATACATACATACTTGTCTTTTTTAGTTCTGCCTGGAGGGTTTGGGACCGGTGTTAGATATGGAGGTAAAATTTTAAAAACTTTCATTAGATGTGAAATACTAATTACTAAAATTGGAAGTATGTCATCTAAGCATTGGTGGGTGAACCTGCTGTTTTGTTCATTTTATTTTAAAGGGTATGGAGGAGCACAAAAACCACCTAAATATGGTAAACCACTTCTGGTACTTAATTTTTATAATTAAAATATCACATGTATAGAGACTAAGATTTGACCCCATGCATTCCATCTAGGACAACCAGCTGGTGGGGTCGGAAGTGCGTTGGGTGGGTCGGTACCAGCAACTGGTGGAACTGGGGCCACAGGAACCGGAATTGCAACTGGTGATAATAACTGCTAAAAGAGAACTAAATAACAGGTAATAGATACAAATAGGAATGTGTTTACATGCTCAGTGTTACATCATAGGTGGTGTAGGTGGGGCTGGAGGCACACCAGTTTCAGGAACCAAGCCAGACAAATATGGTGAGTTGGCAGTCTATGGTTATATCATCTAACCATCCATATCTCCAGTAAAATATTGCTATTCCAATTTTCAATTTAAATCCGGGGTACCAGGCACTATAGGAGGAACAGCAATTCCAGGAAGTACAGCTGCTACCGGCACAGATCGTGGAGCAGGACCTAAACCTGGAGTTGATGGAGGTAATGCAGTTCATTTGGAATGTACATTAACATACACATATGTAACATCCATAATAGTAGACCATAATAACTATCAGTCTTACCTGTTCCTTGTTAGTGATTGGCAGTCCTTATGATGCAACCCGTGGTGCTGGAGAAGGTCAAGGTTATTACCTTTTTTTCTTTTACTCTATTATAGATATTTATTGTATCTATTATTTGTTATTTAGCTGCTAATTTGTTTGTTCCTGAGTTGTAATTTTAACATTTTGTTGAACACACAGGTGGAACAAAAGCTCCCAAGACTGGTAAGAAAAGTAAATTTTTTAAAATTTCTTTCTTTTTTTTTAATTCTTTTTTTTTACATCCCATCTGATCCCATCAACTAGAATAAAACAATTGTCCTTTTGACAATGTAAGAAAAAATTAAGAGGCATTTTCACCTTTTAGCCACCAGTTTTATTTTGTGATTATTTCAGAATCTGGCGGACCAATAGAGGGATCAGGTGGGTCTATTGGAGGTGGTATTTTAAGTTGGATTTCCAACTTTTTAAAAGGATAGAAACTGAGCAGCATGTAATCTTTTTCAGGTGTTACTGGTGGGTCCATTGATGCTGATGGACTTGATGGGGTTGCTGGGACAGGAATACCCATCTTAGCTGGAGAAAAACCAGGTAGACCCTTCCTTTTCAGTGAGCTTGTAGACATCATCCTTTGCAGTTTGTCATCTATTTTTCATCAATGTGTTTTCTTTTTGTAGCTCACATTTAGTTTACATAGAATAAAAAGCATACATTGCATCTTCTGTGACATAGTCAAAACCCCAGACAAGCCTACAGACATAAAAAGTTCACCAGATTATGTTTGTTCAGACACAATCTCTGGCCAACTGCACTATTCACAATTCACTACTCAACTGCATTATTCATGATTCATTGATACTATTTTGGGTTATAGAGCTTTGTTTCTAGTTTGAAGCATAGATTAAACTGCACCATAAATCATGCTTTTATTATCTTTAACACTGAATGGATAGGGGGAAAGAGGATGTACTTGATAGATTTTAAGGTGCCAGGTCCTTCCACTCGTACCTTCTTTTCCACCCTTCACTTTTATGATACTTGTATGTTTTGCCAGAATATTCTTTAAAAATTTAGCATTTTGGTCCACAGAAGGAAGACGGTCATACAGATTTTGGAGTAAACCGTGTCAGAACGTTTACTATGAATATTAGTAGTAGTAGTAGTGGTGGTAGTATGCCTAGTATTGGCAAAACTATTCTTAAAAGAAGCTATTCATAATTATAGTTGAATGAAGTAATATTATTGCCACCAGTGTACTATGTAACAGCTGGTTATTCATGAAGACCATAATATAGCCAAGCAAAACCACATAACACAAAAAATAACAAATACATATCAAAATACATTACATGTTCAGAATGATTTGTAATTGCTAATGAAGTATTGAAAATGAGATTTGAAGAGATACGTCAACACAAAATTACTAAATTAATGACCTTTTTTCATGTTTTAGGTGTCTCTGGAACTGTACCAGGTTTGTATTTAGCTTTTATTTGTACCTTACTGTAAATGAACCATTATTTATTAAGTCTGACAGTTCCTTTTTACCTTATTGACGTTCTCCCTTTTTAGGTGGAACGGGAGTGCCACGACCCGAGAGTAAGATCTGTCTTCATAACCTGAAAATGGATACTGACCTCAAATAAGATAACTGAATTCAAGATTATGTTCCCTGTTTCTTATTTTAGCATTCGAAAATAATCTACCTACATTATGTTCAAAACTGCTAATGTTACGATTCCCTCTAGTGGTGGAGGAGTCTCTTGCATGCCCCAGGTGAAAAAATAAGTACACTTCCATAGTGTACTTAAAGTGCTCTATTTTCACGCACTAATTTTGTACTTAATATACTAAAAATGATTCTTTAGTACTTCTTAAGATAAACTTTAGATCATCTAAGTGTACTCAACTGCTATTTTGGGACACCATGAATATTAACTAAAATTAGCATACTCTCTTTTAAATGTATTTAGTCACTACTTGTAGTACACTTGAGTGTACTAGTGTATGAAAGATGGTTCAAGTGTACTACAAGTAGTGACTAAATACATTTAAAAGAGAGTATGCTAATTTTAGTTAATATTCATGGTGTCCCAAAATAGCAGTTGAGTACACTTAGATGATCTAAAGTTTATCTTAAGAAGTACTAAAGAATCATTTTTAGTATATTAAGTACAAAATTAGTGCGTGAAAATAGAGCACTTTAAGTACATTATGGAAGTGCACTTTTTTTTTTTACCTGGGTGTGGTCGTAGTATCTTAAATAAAATGAATTACTTTGAAATTTATTGAGCTTGTGAATACTTTTTTTTAATGCAAGTATATTTTGCAGTGAAAATTCACAACATAATCTGTATAAGACACAAAGACAACTTTTATAAGATTAGTCAGTCAGATACAAAGAATGAGCATTTTTATTGGTTCCCTTGGAAAGTTCCTATTTAAGGTTTTTAGAATGGTGGTTTTTGATTGATTTTCAGTTTATATGAAAATATGGTTTGTGGTTAACATTGCTTGAAGAGGCTTTAATGCTTGTATGTCGCAGTATGACGGAATCACTTAAAATAAAGTTGTTCTTCCTTAGGAGTTGGCGATAGTGGAACACTACCAGGAGCCAAACCACTAAAACCCCCAGGTACTTCATGCCATTCACTGGACTCTTACTGTCTCAAAATATTTGGGCAAGCAAAGCAGGTGCTTTTTCATTTGCTAAAAGATTTATTTTATTTTTTCTTACTGTAGGCATTGGAGGTGGAGCCATTGCTGGACGTGGAGATACCCCAGGCACTATTGAAGGAGGACCTGGAAGTGTAGGCGGTGGTCCAGGTGGGGTTGGTGGAGGACCGGGAGGAGTTGGTGGATTTCCAGGGGGAGTTGGTGCAGTTCCAGGAGGAGTTGGTGGAGTTCCAGGTGGAGTTGGTGGAGTTCCAGGTGGAGTTGGTGGAGTTCCAGGAGGAGTTGGTGGATTTCCAGGGGGAGTTGGTGGAGTTCCAGGGGGAGTTGGTGGAGTTCCAGGGGGAGTTGGTGGAGTTCCAGGTGGAGTTG